GATGGGTGTTGCTAATCTTTGGCTTTTTTGCTTCTCTTTTTCTCTGTAATTTCTGTGTGTGTGTGTGTGTGTGCGCATGCGCGGCCGGGCCGGGTTGCAAACATGTGCGTTTTCTTCACTTTGTCTGTGGGTGGGTGGTGTAATCAGAGATTATTAGATCGAACGAGTAGAGGACGGATCAACAACAGGAGGGGTGCTACGAGGGACAAGAGTGGGAGAGCGACAAAGGGAAGGAGGGGGGAGAAGAGAGATGGCCGGACCCGGAGTGATTGCTCTTTTCGACGTGGATGGTACTTTGACACCGGCGCGTAAGGAGGCCGATGATGACATGCTGTCATTTCTCCAGGAGTTGAGAAAGGTTGTAAAAGTTGGTATTGTTGGAGGGTCGGACCTAGTGAAGATCAGTGAGCAGTTGGGAAAGAACACGACCACTGACTATGATTACGTCTTCGCTGAGAACGGCTTGGTGGCTTTTAAGGATGGGAAGCAGATTGGCAGCCAGAGTTTGAAAACTCACATCGGTGATGACCAACTGAAGGAACTTATCAATTTTGTTCTTCATTATATTGCCAATTTAGACATTCCCATCAAGAGAGGCACTTTCGTCGAGTTCCGTACTGGAATGATCAACGTATCGCCGATCGGACGAAACTGTAGCCGCGAAGAGCGGAACGCTTTCGAAGAGTACGACAAGGTTCATAAAGTGCGCGAGAAAATGGTGAGCGTTCTCAAGGAGAAGTTTGCACCTTTGAATCTCACCTATTCAATAGGTGGGCAGATCAGCTTCGATGTGTTTCCAAACGGATGGGACAAAACCTACTGCCTGCAGTTCCTGGACAAAGATTTCCCCGAAATCCATTTCTTCGGCGACAAAACGTACAAAGGAGGAAACGACTACGAGATCTTTTCGTCTCCAAGAACAGTCGGGCATTCCGTAACGTGCCCTCAAGACACTAAGAAGGCCTGTACAGAGTTGTTCCTCTCGTCTTCCTAATTTGGAACGACATAGAGAGAGAGAGAGAGAGAGAGAGAGAGAGAGAGAGAGAGAGAGAGAGAGAGAGAGAGAGAGAGAGAGAGAGAGAGAGAGAGAGAGNAGAGAGAGAGAGAGAGAGAGAGAGAGAGAGAGAGAGAGAGAGAGAGAGAGAGAGAGAGAGAGAGCAAGACGGGACACGTGACGGCAAGGAAAAAGATTGACTGGGGAGGTGGGTTAGCGGTGGATGGGTGGACCTTGCGCTTCCTCCTTGGAGAGCCTGGAAAGTAATTTTGTCATGCGAGATTCAAACTTTCCAGTGAGTTGCTTGTACGTTTTTCTACAGASASACASASWSASAGAGAGAGAGAGAGAGAGAGAGAGAGAGAGAGAGAGAGAGAGAGAGAGAGAGAGAGAGAGAGAGAGAGAGAKTKYYGCMSMWCA